TAAATGTTATGAGAATAGCTAAAATTACACCATAATAATTGAACACCCTGAATCAAATTCTGACCAATGACAAACTATGCATATGGGCTAGGTGCTGAGAAAAGGAACGAAATTGACAAAAAAAAAAAAGATCTTTGGAAAATCAATTTTTATGTCATAAATCTTATAATAAATCATAAGAAAATAAAAACTTTAAAGAGCTATACTACAAAATTTATTAATACAACTAACTACTTTTGTGTCTTAAATGAAAAATGATCTTAGCCTTATTATAAATTGATTTATGCAAAAAAACATCTTTTAAAAGAATTGTAAATTTCGTCCTTTTTCTCAGTACCTAGCCCATTTACAAACAATATTATTGACAATATAATAAAAAAATTTAAAGATTGCCTAATTCATTAAAATACCAGTGATCAACAATTAGTAACACCCAGTACAGCAGTAAAAGAAACGGAACACCTAAAGTATAACTGATCCAGATTTATTCCCCAGCAATTTTTGACCCATTGATTGAGGCGCTTGAGAACGCCCGATAACCCATATAATTAGCAGATACATGTTTAAATTTCATGCAAAATCCGACATAGTACTGCATAAGAATAGAAGGATCATGCATATTTCAGCCTATTGATGATTTTAAACAAATCTATATTTGGGCATAATGACAGGACATTTTATAGATTATCATTACGCACTTTAATCAAGACAAAAACTTGTAGTGACAAATTTAGAAACCTCTAAAAAATAACTTTCCAATCAAAGTAATAAATGATACCGACGCAGGTTAATTAGGGATGTTAATAGTCCGGTCTTGTCCATTTAGATCCAGCACTGGTCTAGATTTTAATAGGCCATAGTCCTAAGACTGAAAGCAGAGCAGACCAGTCTTAAGGCTAACCGTGGTTTATTAGTTTAGACTAGACAACATAACTTCCCTAAGGTTAATACGTTTATAATGTATTGTAAAATATAAATATAATGCAATGCGATGCAATATTATAGAGCTAAAGAGCAAAGGTTCTTGCTTTATTACGCCATGATAACAATATTAAATATCGGCCCTTTTTCAGATTTCCTCATTTGGAAGTATCGAAAACGAAGTAACCAAAACTAGGATTAAAACTAGTTGGAAGTTAAGGTTAGGCTTTCCAAGTATAAACTCCGCTTTCTGTATTTTACGAATGTATTTTCATTTTTCGCATCATGAATATTCACAATTTGATTGTAGATTTCTGAAAAAAGTTAAAAAAAGTTGGTTTGTAATATTGGCGATATTATACCAGGTGGGTGAAAAGTTCTCTCCAAGATTATCATTTTAACGTTTAGTATATATTAATATACACTTTTTATTACACAAATATGTCTCATTATACCATTGAAGAGCATACAGAACTTGAAATAATTTACTTTAAAAAAAATTCTTTACAAAAAACTAATAATCTTTTTCACATAAAAATATCCCAATAAATCAAAACTTGGTCTAATGACTACTAATAATCTTGTAAATAAATTTAAAAATTATAAATAAACATCCTCCGCTACGCTCCAGAAAACAGGCAATTGGATATCAACATAAAAATTGATTATTGAAAACTGGAGTTCCCAGCATTTAAAACATGAGTTCTTTAAAATGGATAGTGATTAGTGATGAATATAACGAAGGTCAAAGCGATAATATTAATGAAGTCCTGCTGTCAGATATCAACATCAAGGTTGAAGAAAATGCTACTTCTTTACTTTGCACCAGGAACGAGACCGTAAATCTTATCTCAATTTTTGGCCCAGCAAGGTACGTAACTATTATTGTCAGTTTAAAATCTCAGTTTAATTTTTAATATTTATATCTTATTACAAGAACGGGAAAATCGACATTTATGAACATTTTAGCTGGTGTGAATAATTACGACAATGAGATTTTCATGACTTCTTCTGCTATAGAGACAGTCACAACAGGAGTTGATATTTCCGAGATATTTGTACCACTTAAGGAATTCTCAAAGTTAAATGATAACAAAGATATTGACAGCAATACTTTAGTTGGATTTGTCGACACGGAAGGACAAGACAGTAAGTTAATTACATCTCAACTTGACCAACCAATCAGGAATTTAACCAAACTTCTTTAAATATTTACTAGATAAAGGCGATGATTTTGATATTTACCTTTTCTCCCCTATCCTTGTAACTTCGAAAATCGTAATTTTCTGGTGGCCTGGAACGCTTCTAATAGATACAATTCTTAATAGTTTGGGTGCAATGACAAATTCGGCGAAACGAATCACACGAGATGCTCATTGTCAAGTATGTCATAAAACTTCGTTTACTACCATAAAATGCCACTAAGGTTTGTGTTTGTTATATTACATAGCATCAAAATACAAAACCATATAGCCATCTCCATATTATTTTCCGTTCCTGGAAAAACAATAGTACACCAGAAGACGTTAAAAAATTACTATTAGAACCTCAAGAAGTTAAACGAGAGAAAGACAAAGAACACAACAGTATTCATGAAATGTTAAGTGACTGTTTTGAAAGCATTGATGTAAGAAATTATTCTTCTATAAAAAATTAATTCGCGATCTTGGAATTATCTAAGTATGGTATCAAAATAAGCAAAAATATATGCATTAAACTTCTAGATATGGCTCTTTCCGAACAACGGCCTGATGCAAGACCGCGAAAAATCACTTTTTGAAGACTTTAGTGACAATTGGAAACAAACATTTAAAGATATGCGCAAAAAATTTTCTGACCAATTGAGTATTAATGAACCAAAGCACGGTGCTGGTAGGTGATTTTATTTGAATTTTTTGTTCATGAATTTTTCTAATTTAAGATATTAAATAGAAAAACCATGAACTGGCCGGGATATTGCCGAGTTTACCAAATTATTGTGCAATACACTTAACTAGCTCGGAATAATATGCCATCACCTCTATTTTTGAGAGAATGCAAATTGCCCGCGCTAAGACTTTAGCAAAAAACGCACTGAATGATTTTAATGCACTTGTGAACGAAATGGATCCTCAATATAAAGCAGATGGATGTGATAATGAGGGTATTGATACATATTTATACGTAGAACTAAAAAATTTTAAAGAAAATTTAAAACTAGAGGGCTTATCTGATAACGTTGTGAATGAAATTTGTGCGGACTATAACAAATCAATCAGCTTAATAGTGAACGAGTTAAAAAATAAAATTGCGACGCTAACTATAGAAGTACAAAACTTTCAGATCCGAATTGATGAATCCCTGTCTGTCATAGTAAGAAAATCGGACCTTACAAAATCCCTCAAAAAATTAACCCAACAACTATGGAATGATTTCAATGATATGACCAAGGATATTCCAAAGGGTTTCGTACAACAGCATCGTGAAAAACTTGAAAATTATTTACAAAGAAAAAGTTCTGTATCTCATGGTTGAAAGTGTAAAGAAAATTATTTCTTCTGCAAGCGAGAAATTAGAATATCGACTACCACTGAATGAAAATAAGCTTGAGTCTGAATGTCTGAATGTCTTATTTTATTTAAACAATGCAATGAAATATATCTTAATTCATTTTCTATCTTTTCTGATGATATGGTATCTTCTGACGATTTGCGCATCTTAGCAAACCCATTTTTTGAATCTTTATTGAAAAATAATCGTAATGCTTGGAAAAATAAAGCCGAAACATTCCTGAAACGTGCTGAAATTTTGTATAAAGAGGATCTTGCTACCAATTTTCCGGTCGATAACAAGAGAATATTTAATAACACAGAAATTGAACAATACTTTCAAGAAGAAATGCTGAGATTTTCATACAAAGTATCAAATATTTTTCCATATGCAATGGTGAATGATATCTGTGCTAAATATAAGGAAACAGCACTCTTAATAATAACAGAGTTTCAGATGAAAAACAATAAAAATATCGAAGAAATTCCGCAAAAAATCAAACAGTATATTCTAGAATGGGATATTATTTTAGACGCAAATACAAGAAGTGTTTTAGAAAGGTGGCAATATGAAGTTGCTGAGCTCTTATTAATTAGTATCACTATACCAGAATTGGCTGCTCTTCCGTCATTCCAATTGTTACGCATTTGTAGCAACCTTATAAATGGAAAAAATAATCCATCATCCTTTAGAAGGGTTATCAGGTCGATTGTAGGACGTGATATGGGAAAAATTTTATCTGAACAATTTGTTATTGATATTTTAGTAGGTCTCGAATCAAATGAATTGAAATCTGTGCAAATGTCGTTCATAAATAGTTGTCTTGGTATTATTCCTCTCACATCTTCAATTCGCCAACTTTTTTATAAGCCGCTTTTTGTACATAATCCCTTTATATTTGCAAGTCCCATCATGCGGAGTATTTTCCTCGCAGAGAATGAAAAGTATCAAAATGCATTTTTTGATTTGCTCAAAGATCCGCAAATAGTTTTCGAAAGTTTACCAGATTTGAAGATTATCAATGATCTATTAAAAGAAAATGATCCGGACTCGCGAATAGCTGCATTGTCTTGTGATATAATCCAAAAAACATTCTTCGTGAATTATGATCTGACTGAATTGCACCATAACTTTTCCAGAGCAGTTGATTCACTATCTGCCAATAATATAGAACCATTGCAAAATATATCTGCTATTGCCTTCTTGAAGGAATATGTACGTGCTTTTTGTGACTCTAATAAAACTACCCTGAAAGAATACGTACGCACTTCCCGCAGCACAAATGAAGCCAATTTGAATGCTAAAATACACATTGATACTTACATGAATAAAATTATTCGCGATATCAACAACCAATTAAAGTCGAAATGGCCGAGAATTCATTCGCTTAAAATATATTTTCTAAAATACCTTCGGTCTTGTAATTTTTCAATGAAAGATATTAGAGATTTATGTGAATCACAAGAGCAACCTTTCCCTTGGCTTAACGAAATACCATGGGAAGATCAGGAAAATTGGCTTTCTTTCAACCCATATTGGTTGCATCAAGACTATAGATATGCTGAAGATTACTATTATCACGTTTACGACGATTCCAAGCGCGATGAAGCTAATGTTAACCGGTTTTTTGCATTATATTTAAAAATAGCACGATCAAAAATGCCGAATATGAAGAAAGTATATGAGTGGTTTAAGCGGGTTTGGGTTTATCAAACGATAAATCTTTAACAAAGAATGATCTTGTTATATTTGCGGGAGTAATTGTTGCCCGTCTACATTATATAAGGGCTTCACGCGAATGGACAGACAATGAAATAAGAATAGTTGATTACTTAACTAAAGAAATAGAAACCATGAACGTTTCATCGATATATAAAGAAATGTTTTTAAAACTGAAATTAAATTCTAATTCTTTAATTCAACTGCTCAAAGACAATGAAGTCGACCTCGAAGACAATAAAGTTGATGAATTACTGATGAAATCAGTCATTGTACATTTAATAATAGTGCATGCTTCCATCCCGGATAATGAAAGCCCGCTTGCTGCTTATCTTCATCAATTACAAGTTTGTCAAGATGACTTCATTCTGACATGTCCATCGGACGTCGAAGGTGTTGTTATGAATGCAGTTGCCTCCTTCAGGTACTATTCCATTGAAAAATTCTTTACGGAAATTTACAGGATTTACTTCCAAACATAAAAAGGGATATATATTTGTACAGTATACCTTCCCAAATCCGATATGAACGGTGGACGGCTTTTGTATCGATTTTGAGAGGTTATCTGGTTTAAAATACTAATGGTATACTGGTCACATGATTATAAACAAATATAATTGGCCAGATTATATTTATTATAGATGTACTCCATTACAAAAAGCCCAATCTGAGTAGGGTTGCTGGTGCAGGTGGCGTCGCCACTGGTGCAATGCTTTAAATTTATATGATAACTTAATGGTGCAGTAGTGGTGCACCACTTGCACCAGCAACCCTAAATCTGAGCCAATCAAATTGATTTATATTATCTGACAAACCCGATATCTTGTAGATATCTGATCTTTTGAATATCGGTTATTAGAAATGGCAGGTTATCGGGTTTGAATTATGGAACAGATTGTGGATCAATTTTTTATCGGTTATAGTATATGAAATTAGTTAACGTTAAATAATGAAATATCAAAATCAACAAAGTCCTGCAAAATTCCGTAATGCACACTCTTTTATTACGTTTGGAATGTAACTATTAATTGTCATTTATACCTTTCAAAAGAGATGAAGATGGTGCAGGAAGCGGTGTTGCCAGGTAATATACTAATAATGCTACTGTTTCTAGCCTTTTAAATATGCGCACAACGAATAAGCTAAACTTTTTGATTCAAAAGGTATCAATGCATATGCGGTGAAAAGTTTATCGTCCTTGATTGTGGAGGCTTTTCAAATCCTGAAGAAAGAGACCCTAATAAGTATAGGTAGGTGGTAAATATATTCCTTCAAATGATATTAATACTATACTATCTAATTCCCATATTTATTCTTAGCATTTCGGGTGAGTGCCTGAATTGTAATAGAGTGATTGGCTATGGTTCAAATGAAGGTGAATATACGCGTTTGGATACAGACGTGATCACATCCTTTCCAATCAAGCATGAACCCGGATACATAGTTGAACAAATTTCAACAGAAAAAACGCATAATGCCCGCATGATGACACCACAAGCCTATCGTATTTTACATTTGTTCGTGCACACACTTGGTGCATCTGTACCATCATCCATTGCATCCAAATTTTTTGAAAAAAATGGTAACAATGCAGGAGACCCAATGGTGCATTGTCTTAATAATATTTGCAATGACTGGAAGATACTTAGGGATATTTTTGATTATAACGATGAACAGTTGGCACTGATTTTACATTCTATTATTTCCTCAATGATCGAGGGACCACAATCAAATGAATGGCGATTGGATACTCCAGAGAAACGAGAAGAGTGGGAAGATAAGTTTAGTAAGAATCATCATATTTCTAATGTGATAGTTACAGTACAAGATATCCGGAACAAAATGTCAAAAGATAGAATAA